ATTTTTCATTTCTTTTACATATCACAACTTATCTTAAATTTCCCTAATATTTGCTATGTCGGGCGCATGTTCAATAAGTAAAATTGAGTAAGTTTCCACAACGTAGGTCCTATTTGTTTTTCATTTCGTTTTTCAGAATATTTGTTGTTTAAAAGGTAATAAAAATTCTCATCGGTCAATCTTACTGAGCGAACCCGGGTATGTTATACTACAGCTAAGATCGACTATGACTACTATGAGGCATGATAGACTTTCCGGACTTTGTATGATGAGTATTCAGAAACTTTGAAAAAATAAGTTTATATTTTAGTTTTGTTTTATTTATGTATAAAATGTATGCTCTTTTGTGGATTTCTATTGACATGTGTTGTGTTCTATATTTTTGGGAAAATAAATATATTTTGATTTTGCTGTATAATTCAACTTTCTGAATCCAGGGGGGCAAATGCCCGATTTGCTCCCCCCCCCTGCCGGCGCCCATGATAACGAACACCGCTTTGAAAAAGCTACCACCGAAACAAGTCGAGGACCTGCGGAAAATAGTGCAAGCCATGTTCTCACTAGCCAATTCCCCATCCAAATGGAAGGAGGCGAATGTTATACTCATCAGAAAAGCCGGCGAATCCAGTACAGACTCCAAAAGCAACCGCCCCATCAGCCTCCTCCGGGCATTAGGGAAACTAGCATAAAGGCTGATCAGGCAGGAAGTACAAGTCAAAGCCCCTCCATTTTGCCGAATCAGCAGATGGGATTCAGAAAAGCTCACTCTCCGTTCACCAGGCGACCAGACTAGCAGCAACAATCCTCTAGGGGGCACATCGAAGAATGCAAACAGGTGCAGTTATTCTGGATATATCGAAGGCATTCGACAAGATGTGGCACGAAGGCCTAATTTTAAAAATGCTGCGAGCTAAAATACCACACCAGCTGATGAAGCTGATCGCCTCCTTTTCAAAAAGCAGAAGTTTTCGTGTGACAATCGACGGCACCACGGCCAACAAAACCACATATACCGCAAGGCCAATTCAAACCGGCGTCCTCAGGACTCCCCACTCAGCCCGCTGCTGTTCAACATCTACATGTCTGACATCCGTAGGTCAAAAGAGACAACCCTTCTGGCCTATGCGGATGACACAGCCATAACAGCAACTGCTCGCAGTCGACCTATCATAAGAGCCCGCCTACAGCGCCACCTTGCGGAGCTAGAAGACTGGATGAACAGATGGCGGCTGCTGTTCAATCCAAGAAAGAAGCAAGCCATCATGTTCTGGAAAAACTTGAAACGACCGCCCCGGGAAAGACTAAAGTGGAAAAAGATACAGCTGAACTGGTCCATCAAAGCTAAATATCTGGGCATAATCTTTAACAGGCGACTGACTTGGAAGCAGCAAATACAATATAACAGAAACAAAGCCCAAGGACAAATCAACCAACTATACCCGCTCCTGAATAGGCACAGTAAACTAAATCTTCAAGTCAAGATCGATACTTATAATAAGCTTTACATAAGACCGATACTAACCTACGGAGCACCACCCCAAACATACGACACCCGCTCACCACCATGGGGAACCGTATCCTGCGGAACCTACTCGGCGCTCCATGGTTCGTTAGGAACATCACCTTGAGAAGGGACTCCAAACTTCAAACTATACTCAGACTCAGCCATATACAGGACCTCTGCACCAATTACTTCGTCAAAGCAGACGTAACCATAAACCCCCTCATCAGCGAAAGCCATACGCAAGCCACACCAAGCCCAACACACCCCCTCCCAGGGAATCAGTTATTTTGAGGAAGCCACGGATAAACCTCAACACATAAGATCCACCACGTTGGGATCACCACGCAAAATCTACCAGGATACCCAGAATACACATGAACAGACAACAGGGGAATATAAATACTAAATACTACACAAGTATTTTCCCACAAACAAAAATAATCGTCATTTAGCCATGTTACAAAAAAAAAACACCGCCTCTGAAGATGTCTACCGCAGCAGTAGACGAAACGTTAGGTAGAAATATTACTCGCCGCGGCATTATAGCCCGGAAACAACTTTTTTACTCAATCTTCACATATTAGTAAATTTTTGCAACAAAAAAATTGTTTTTTTTTTAATACCTAGTGTTTTTCATAATATGTTGTTATATTTATAGGACCAAATGAATCTTCCATAATTTGCGAGATGCCACTGGAGAGAGGCTAATTTGAAACACCCGGTATATGAAAATATTTGACAGCACACACATTTTTTTGCAGTCTGACGTCAAAGCTACCTTCCAAGAAAGAATCCTATATCTGAGTTCGGGTCCAAGCCCGAGAAATAGATGATGATAATGTTTAATTTCCGTTCCTGCAAATTATAAGAAAAACATATTTCACATTCCGAAACGTGTTTTTCCATTATATTTATAATTACTTATCACCCACCTAATCTAATCAACAAATTTCCTTAAATTTGAAAAAAATAAGCAGCGTCCTGCAAAGCCTCAAAAACGCTGGCCGAACATTCCACCGGGTGACTCAACATCCCCGCTGCTTTCGTAATTTTTATTTGAAATCTTTTCTGCAGAGTTGTAGTAACTTTCAGAATCAAATTCCAATGTGTGGCCACCCTCACGAAGTTATCCTCTGCTTTTCTTCTTGAGATTTCCATTGCAAGTAACTCTATAAAAACCAGTTTGCGTTAACTTTGAGCTGAATGTTTTCCACAGCCTCAAGTCACTTCCAGTACTTCTCGGCTGTTGTCAAGCAGTTGAAGCATAAATTGTCATCTAGGTGGTCAAGGATCATATTAACATCGAATAAGAGAATCTAGGTCCCAGGACTGACCCTGCATAAGAAGTTGACGTGAAAATCCCACGTTGTTCTGGAATCAAGCTCATTTCTTCCTGAAGTTTCTTTCTAGTCCTTTCAGAACTGCTAAATCAACTACGTACAATGCAATCTTCACGTTCTGTGTCTTCGGATTGTGGCGATCATAGTGTGGCGAGAGCACCGACCATCGTGGAACACCAGCTTCCAGTTTTCTAGTTCTTGGACGATGTTTGCCAATCTTTACGCCGAAGATTCTTGCTGTCAGATTTTGGTCCAGTTTGCAAGCCATTTCTTGATAGCCGGCTTGAATCTTCGTGTGAACTAATCCGTCATGCCATGCCAGAGTCTGTCGTTCGACATCCAACAAGACTACAGGTGTCTTATTCCAACTAAATCTATTTCTGGTATGGTCGGCTAGTCTGAGCGCCTACAGCTTGGTCGCATTACCTGCTCTAAGTTTAAATTGTTCTTCAGGAATCAATTCCAGGTCATCAGATTCCTGTAGGATCCTGGAATTGATAGCTCTCTCTGACAGCTTGCCTAAAAGAGCATGGGACCAAAGTTCTGTAAGGACTTTCTGATCTTTCCTGCTCTGCTTAGCACAATGTCTTCCCATACTACCAGCAGTGTGGGAAATAGATCTAAATTCAAGATAAAATTGCTTGCTTTAGGGACACTCTTTATAAAATATTGTTATTCAAAAGATCTAGGTATATTTGGCACAATAGTCTGTTTACTATTTACATGAGAAATTCGGTTTTTAAGGAATTTGCTTGTATCCTTATTTTGGAGCACCCTGTAGCTACTTTTACTACTGAATTTTTTGCTAAAACTTATGGCGTTTCCGATTGGTAGATTCAGTGCGCACTGAGTGTATTTGCATCCTTTTAATCGACCTGTAGAAGAAAAAGATAGAAATAGAAAAAATTGCACTAGTTCCGCACTAGATCTACCAATCGGAAACGCCATTTAACATTAAATTTTTATATATTTTAGTTGAGAAACGAGAAAACAATCTTTGCATTTTCTTGACTTCGGAGACGAAATTATTTTACTATGCGTCAAGGAGACACGAGATGAGACGAGAAAAGAGCTCTCTCGTCTCGTATAGAGGATCTCTTGTCGAGAATCATTTTCTCTCGCACCTTCGAGATAAGACGAGAGAGAGCGTATTCTCGTCTCGCAGCATCACTACTTATTCGTTATATAGCCCTAACTACTGCTAGAGGTTCCTTCTTTATCCTCAAATAATTTCGTTCGTCGAAGGTTATGAGTAGACATACCATTTTTTTTTCTTCGTTACCCTTTCCCTGATCAAACATGCTCGTATGAGCAGTATGGCCTAGTCGAAGGCATCGTTCTTGATAAAATGGAAGTTTGGATTGATCATCTTGTTGTTAAATGGGATTGGAAGTCAGAACGAACTTTGGATGATCAAATGAACGAGCTTGTTCCGAATTCCAAATCAATTGAATCTATATTTTTTTCCACGAAGTTAATGGTTTGCCAATTTCCGAAAAGTTTGTACCAAAAACACATCTGTGAAAAGGAATGTAGCTGTTCAACGTTCTGGGTAGAGTAATCTTGGCAACCTCAAAGACTGTCAGGATTCAGGTGAAATCACATGACCAAGGTACCAATGTAACTAAATCACATAAAAAAGTACATCGCAGGCCTATATCCTAACATAGATTGCTAAGCTCAGAGAAGAAAAAAGTAGGTATCTTGAGATCGTTTATTTTCAATCTCGCGAGACTTTTCATCTTATTTGTTGTGTTTCCAGATGGTTACTTTCTCCATCTATTTTTCACTTAGCTGCATATTTAATGCCTCGAACTTCCCTCGACCCAAAATATCTATTTTCTATCTAATTATGCTTACAAGTATTTATCCTCTATGGTATAATAATCTACTAGGTAAAATGGGACAAATTAATTAACTTAAAAGATAAACTGGTAATATAGAGTTCCAGGATTCATAGTTGAATATTTCAAATAATAAACTATAAAAATTCTATTTGAAATTTCTCTCAAGCCAACGCCACCAAAGCAAAAATTATTTATCCTGCCTCCAACTTTTCCTAGCCTTGGGCTCCATCCAGAATTGCTGCAGGGTATATAGAGCCAGGAGATGTCCCAGAATCCTGTGCGCACAGCGCTATATCGATCTGGATACACTCTGGAGTTTCTAACCTACAAAAGTAGAGATATACAACTAGGATTTTTAGTTCATATAAACTTTAGTTTTGTTTAGTGTTCAGTGCCAAAAAATTAATGGTAGGTAAGATGATAAATTATTTCAATAATTATATTATTATTTTGGTGTTGGCGATGCCTGGAAACTTTGATTCCAGAAGTAGTTCAAGGAATTTCAAATATAGGTCAACGCTCTAACGTGCAACAAATGTTTACAATTTATTTTAAACAACAAATGATGGTATGAAATATTGAAAAGTTCTATTTGTTTATTGAAAGCCAGTTCTTGTGATAGATTTTTAGAGTCATAAGATTAAATAACCGATGTGAACCGATAAGAACTCAATCCCGCTCTAAATTATTCAGTGGTGCCCCATAAATTTGAAACTATAACAGGTGCCCAGATCCACCTCCTCTTCCCTTTGAACCAGAGAGAGGATGCATCTACCAGGGGGTGATCAAAAGTCCTTTATCCGCGGGGCACAGCTCTCAAAGCACTTAAGCTCGACACCATACGATACCATATGGACCTGCACGCCCCTCCGGCCGTAACTAGAGATGTTATCTGACGCCTTAATGACTGTCCCTAGGGGTCATGTATGTTGGCATTGTTATTAGAACGTACAGGGTTGGAATAGAATTGAAATTTTATCAGATTCAATTAACAGTTTGATTAAAAATTTCAGGGGAAATTATTGTATTTTTTATTTTCTTATATCATCAACATTGGGATATTTTAGTTATCTATGTTCAACAAATTCGTGCTAATATGTTTAGTAGAAGAGAGCACTATTGAAACGACATTAGTATCACCACTAAATTATACTAATAACATCTGTCTTCGAAAATAAAATGAAAAATGGAGATGATTTTGACATCATTAAAACCAAGGTTTAATTTGGGTGGAAGTCAAAGACACAAAGAAGTATCTTAGCTCAAAGGAACGCTATCAACTTGTCCAGACAGTGAAAACCCCTGTTGGCATTCGTGTGAGTTAAAAGTGGGCTGAGAAATGGGGAAAAATTTGAAAAAAATACTAAAACAAAACTGAATTATTTTTCTTAAATCCTGAATTACTGAGTTAGGTACCTACTTGGTGACATTTTAGAAGGTTATAAAGATGAAAATAACTGAAAGTATATATCTCACCGAGTAACCTGATACTAATAAACATTACCTATAAGCGAGTGCAAGTTCGAGGCGACATTCATTTTTATTGAGTGAGAAACCTTAGATTCTAGATTCCGGTTCTGTATCAATAAGCATCAGCATGTATCGAACCCCTTCATTAGCCACTCATTACAATTCCCAACAGAATGCCTGCCTGTCAACACTTACATTTCAATTCTTTTCAATAAAAGTCCACACTTTATAACAGTACTCCATATAAAAAGCCACCCTTACACAGAACACGTCTGTCGAGTTTCGAGAAATAAAGGTGCACGTCGGGGGGTTTCCCTTTTTTTTTGCTCTTCGTTTGTCGATGTTGGATAATTGGGATTGCGTCACGTTTTTGAAGATGAAAGATTTGTTTCTTTTGGAATTCTTGTTATTTGATAGTGCAAATACAATATTGAAAATGATTGGAGTGATTCAAAAAGGGAAAAATTTTGATGAGAATGTTACTGTCCATTCTGCGGCGACATGACGTGAGGGGTGAATTAAGTCGAAAATGTAATGAATTTGAAATTTTAGTCAATTCTAATGAATGATAATTGTCAAGCAATTAGTTATCAATAGAGATACTTACCTACTCAGTGAATAATACAGACTATGAAAAGGCATGCTTTAAGTTCATAAAGGTGACGTTGTATCTATTGAGAAATACAGATTCGAATGAATATCGCTGATATCTTAAGAAAATTGTAGTGAATTTATATTTTTCACTTACATTTGATAAAACCATCAGTTCGGAAGAATATCGTTAAATTATTATTTCAAAAAAAATGGACTCATCAAAAATATCTGAAACTCTCTCCCTCGTACTTCATTGACACCCCTCCTAAACCAGATTTCTCTCTGCCAACCCCATGGGTTTTATGCTCCAATATTCATGAATGGCTCTTCGGATTTGGGGTCTTTATTTTGATGTTTATTTAATTATGGTCAAAAGATATGGGTTTTCGGGGATTAATTATTGTGCCTTTTCACGAGTTTACTTAGACGACAAAAACTTTTTTGGACAGCAAATAATTAATTCCCATTCAACCGTATTGAATGGTTTTGTTATACGTAAGAGGAACATTTGAAATACATTAAAATGTTTCTTTCTCGCTTAATTTATGATGGTTGTGATTGAATATGATTTATAAAAATATATAAATTCATAAATACCTAAATATACTGAGTACGTTTTTCGTAGATAAGTGAGCCCACATAACAGTAAAAGAAAATATTTTCAAAATATTCCCTCAAAGTGCTTTTTGGAATGTTCTTTTAGGAATGTTCAATGAATATTCTAAGATTGTTTCGATTGAAATATTCATTTTTGAACGTTCTATTTATGTACTAGGAATGTTGTAAGAACCTACTTTATACAACATTATTTGAATATTGACATACGAACATTATTATAATGTACCCTAAAAAATGTTCTTTCGGCTAATATCTCTATTAAGTATTAAGAATATACCTACCAAGTTCTGCTGAGAAGTTTATGTAGGTAGGTAACCATGATAAGAATATTTTCATATTGTGCACCTAATTGTCTAAAGTAGGTACCTACTCAAAAATCTTAATTGAACAATTAAATAATATTGCTCTATCTAGAATCTACTAAGAATATTATAGGTATATTCCTTTTCTTTTGCTTTGTAGAACTTCCAAGAGAGGGAGCCACGCGCTATTAAGGGTATTGAATGCGCCGTTTAAAATATATTGTAACGCACGTCGAACTATACGACTGCCCAACAAGTTAACACTAATAAAGATGCGAGGTTCATCGCGATTATTGCATTGAGCTACTGTTGGCCCGGCTGGCGCTGGATCCTTTATGATAGCGATTTAAAATTTATCGCAAAACTGGCGGAGGAAAGAGTCATAGGGTTTGCTGCTGGTATAACAGAGACAGGCAAAATGACATGAAGAATTGATTAAATTTCTACAAAAAAAACTAAATAATTTTTGGAATTCTGGTTTGCGCCATTGTATTGCTAACACACATAAGAATGGCGCTAACTAAAAAAAACACCATAAATTGATTAACTTTCTTGTTTTTTTTTTTTTTCAGTTTAAATTACATTTTTGTAATTTTTCGAGAACTTGTTTCTATTATCGGATTTCTAAAAAGATAGCGCTATTCGTCCCTATATTATAAATCGAATGTAAAAAAGAAAGTTGATATAACTTCAATTGTTAAAAAATTAGGTTGAAATTGAGAATGCAATGCATTCCTTGTTTCATTCATCTCATTCCCACTAAGGAGTATTAATCGGAGCGGAAGAATACAATGATAGACTGCGTTAGGTGCTTCGGCAGGAAAAAATATTTTGGCATTGAGGCGCATCTAATACTCTTAAAGATCTACATCTTGCCTAGCGTTTGAATCACCTTGGAACCTGTTTCTCTCAGTTGGCGTGCTTACCGCGACGAGAGCATAACAAGCTCGAAACCGGAGCTTTGGTTAAACACTTGTGTTTTCCAGAGAAGTTTTCCAACAACTCTTTCATTGCCTTTAATATAAAAGGACTGAAAGGAGCATTATTTGGAAGCGAAAATTAACATTCCAAGTATATCCTTAGATTCAAACATGAATGTTATGTCTAGGATGCATATTGAGAATAATATATGTAGATATATTCTAAGAATATTTCAAGCATATTGGTATAATATTCTTTTGAGAACATAACTATAATGTCATAGAAACATTCTATGAGTGTGAGAATATACATTTCAAGCATATTTTTAGAATCAAACAGGATTATTCTTTTCAGGATGTACTGAGAATCTCATAGGTATATTCTAGGAATATCCTAATGGATTTACCAGGAAGTTCTTGGGTATTGCAAATAGTATTTCTACAATCTTTTCTCAGAACATTCTCAGGACATTCGCAATGTTTTTGGCGAACATTCTAGGCACATTCCTCCTAAAAAAAGAACATTCCCATTACATTCTAAGGATGGAATTTTGTTATGTGGGAGAGTACTCTTCAACATTTATTCAAAACAGTACCCCACCAAAATCACGTCGAAACTAGCGCTACTGCAATACTTTGAATCACTCAGATTTACTATTTGAACACTATTGAAAAAGTTTTCTCAGGTGTCTGTCGCAACATTTACTTGCTTTGATTATAGTAGTGTTCACGGCTCACGTGCGAATGCCATGTTAGTTTCTTGTCTATTTCTAAACTAAGATATTTTACTTTTTCACTCCATTGAATTCTTCTACCTCCAATGATGATGTTTGGTTCTTGGGCCATTCTCCTATTTTGAAAAAGGATGGCTTGGGTTTTTGTGGAATAAATTTTAATTTTGTTTAGATTGCACAATTCTTCAATTAAATTTACTTATAGGTGCTTGAAGATTTCTGCTGATGAAGGCTGTGTTACGATGACCCATTAGGATGGCAGTATCATCCGAAAATAAGGCTGTTTTCGTGCGATGGTGAGTTGGTAATAAACTATAAAGGAGGGGACCCAGCATTGAACCTTACGGTACTCCTGCCTCAATTCTTCTTATTGATGAGAGTTGTGAGCCTATTCTGACTTGAAATTCCCGGTTTGCCAGATAATTGTGTATAAGTTGGCACAATTTTATAGATATATTCCAGTTTCCCATCTTTTCAATAAGTCGCGCATGCCACATCTTATCAAAGGCTCTTTCTATGTCCAGCATTACAGCGCCAGTTGCTGCTTTGTTGTTGAATCCATCCACAATTATTTCCGTAATACGTAAGGTTTGCTCTTGCTTGACATGAAGCCAAACTGGAATTCAGGGATGACTCCCAATTCTTCTATTTCTTAGCACAATCTTTTCCTAATAGTTTTCTCCACAATTTTACTAATGGTCGGGAGTAAACTTATTGGTCTATAATTATCTGGGAACTTGGCATCCTTGCCGGGCTTTCTCAGTACTATA